TATAATTGTTTAAAAAAATCAGAAAAGCAACTTCTCTGTGTATTTTAATTCATTGGCAACTGAAGGTGATTTTTTAGAATTCACATAATAATGCTGGTGAAATATTAACCATCTCAAACAGAAAGAGGGAGGAGTTTTTTGTATCTCCATGGGCATGATTATTGGATTTAATACCATGCCTAATCAAATAGGCAAGGATTTGACTACACTAGAGTGACTGAAGAGTGAAGCCATTAAATAACTTCCATGGAAGTTTCAAAGGAGGACAAAAGATAGACACATCTTGTACTTCAACGAGAAGTTTTAAAAGGAGAATTTTTGTATTGTTTCAAGAGTTGCAGATTACTGAAGCAAAAGGACCTTCTGCAGACCCACAGGACTAGGAGTGAGTAGAGCCATGTGTTGCAGAGGGTCACAGTGCACCGTGCAGCCCCTAAGAGTTCATCCAGAAGTCATCCAGCCTGACCCTTGGGCCAGAAGAGAAGGGGGACCCAGCATGGAGTGGAGCTGGAGCTGCCACTACTTTCATGGAAGATATGGGAGTTAATACAGTAGTAACTGTAGTTACTTCTACGGTTCCCAGCAGGTTACAGCACAATTCTCCCTCCATTAGGATGGTACCTGAGCAAACCAGTAGCTAAACAGACAGTGGGTGAAAAGATTTACATAATTTACATAATGTGTTATAACTATTTGGTATTAGCGTGTCAAAACCCCAGGAGCAAATCAGGTCACTTTTTCCTTTACCAAGCTCCAAAGGACAAAATGGTGACTGTCCCATTCTAAGAATGGCAGAGGAGGTACAGAGTTAGGAGCATTTTCTAATTGCCAGTTGTCAAGTACTGTCCAAATAAACTGTTCTGGTATAAGCTATAATCAACTTCATTTGAGATAGCTCTGGATGAATCTGTTGAATTTTGTTTAATCTCTCCATTTTGACCACTGTGTTTGTAAAGACTGGGAATAAAAAGTGATTAAAAAGCATAAAAATTATTTTTAAAATACTTCCTTGACTAAATACTGTCTGGTATTCATTTTGGGTACATTGACATGTGCTGGATTTCTATATAACTTCCCATGAAGCAGAGAATTGTTTCAGAAGCTATTAAAAACCTGTGGATTTAGTTTACATTTTGGTATACATGGGGTTTTTTTAAAAAAAACAAAACCACACAGTAACATCCCTCTAACCCCTTCCCCTAACAAGAAAAACCCATAATCATTATTACTAATATCTTTAACTCTTTTTTCCTTTTTTTTTTGGGGGGGGGTGGGGGGGCAGTGGTGTGGGGGGAGATTTTTTTTTTCTGTTGTTGAAAAGTGTCTGATCATGAATAAAGCACTAGCAAAACAAAGTCAATACTATTTCAGCTTCAGAAGGAACTTTGATGCTATGAGATCCTGCTGTGCTGTATTTTATTTCTACAGCAATATGCAACAGCTTTGGTAATTCTGGTAGCTCTTTCAGATACATAACACTTTCAGTATTGGCACATGTTAACAAAACTGTAGTATCTGACAAACATACTGACAAGTTCATTCCCATTTGAGAAATCCTGGGTGGGGAGGGGGCTAGAGGGCAACAGCTCCTCCTTTACAAGGGCTTGCTGCTTCAGGGTTCCATAAGCACCAGACTTGCCTGCCTTTCATTCAGCACTGAGGTGGGCCACACTGGTGTCAGGATGCTAATACTCAGCTCTGCAGCTCTGGATTTTAGCAGATCCAGACACACCAAGGCTCTTCTCTCAGCACCCAAGGGGGACTGGTAGAATGAGGCTGACCAGTTGTCAGACAGAATTCAGATCATATGGCAATGATGCTGATTGGCAGACAGAAATGAGAACATATAAACTTTCTTTTAGATACAGATGGCTCCATTTCTCCTGTCAAAATTATTGACATTAAAAAAAAAAAAAAATATTGTCTGTAGTAAGGAGAGCTGTTAATAGTTCTACACTTCAGATATACATAAAATTATAGCTTTTGTCTCTTATGATGATTTCACCAGCTTTGAATTGCCTCTGACCATTAACTAGAAATTCACTTGACCTGAGATTAATCTTGAAAGAGAGGAAATGAAAGGTAATTCTGTGCAGGCCTTCCAAGACATGAATTAATACTAGTCTTTCACACAAGCATGGTTTTATATAGTGAAATAACAAATGAGCTATCCTCATCTCCCTGTGAAGTCCCATATCTGTAGTGTTTACTCTGAGATATCTAGGAAGATAAATGCTTAGCTATGCTCATCACTGGCTTTCTCTGCTTTACCTTGGAATAAAGCTGGACTACCTCATTTCCATATCAAAACATGGCCACCCTTGCATGCGTGTTCCTTAGCAAAATATTGGTTCTTCACCAGGAAGACATAGATGAATCCAGATTATACAGCAATTGCAGATCTTTTACAGGAGAAAAGGCAAAAAACCCCCAATTATTGCTTATAAATGTGCAAATGGCCTGTGGTCAAGCAACACTGGAAATTCTCTCTCCTCTACCTATAAAAAAGGGGAAAATTACAGCTTCTGCATGGGGAGGACTGAGCCTTCATTTCTCCTGGCATTTGGAAAATATTCTGAAGAAACAAAATTGAATGCAGACATCTGGGTAACCTGTGCACATAATCTCCAGTAGTGTCTTCAGGTCTCATGTATGTGTTTGATTTGAAGCTGATGTTATGTGCTCATCACAAGGTGGACAGATTATAGTCTCCTTTTGTTTCACTATATATTTATATTTATAGCCCTTTGTTGTGATATAAAATACTTATAGGACTGATCCAGTATTTCTACGGTGCTTGAATAGTTTTGAAATGGTTAAAATAGTTGTAAAATTACATATTTTATCTTCAGTACCTTGGACTATAATGCTCAGCAATAAGAAAAGCAAGATGGACTTCTGCCTAAGTAAGAAAGCAAGCTGGGCTTCTGCTTTGAAATATTTCCTTTAAGCACAGTCTCAGGAGTGGCGCACCCGCATCAAATCAGTGGGATTTTTTGGACTCCTTACCTTTCATTATGTGTCACAAAAGTTTTCCTTTTAACTAGCAACACACTGCAGCCACCTAACTGGGGGAAATGTATCTGTTCAGAAGCCAGAATGATATTCTTCTAGTCCCAGGATCCAAACAGAGCTGAAGTGTCCATAGGGCCAGATCCTCAAAGCTCTATCACCACAGTTCTACAGGGCCCTCTCCTCTCCGCTCTGCTTCATCCCGACTTCTAATTTACTCGGGGTCACTTGAAGGCTGTCTCAACTCCTCTTCTTCCTACCCCTGCTGCCGCAGTCCCCTGGGAAAACTGGGGAGTGGCTCCTGGTTTCCCAAAGGTCTCCGAAGGGCGGTCGCGCAGAGGGAGGCCCACGCCGCTGCAGTCAGCGCTTGTTAGCGGCTGTACCGAGGACCTCCATCCAAGTCACCGGCCGCTTCTCCCCTGGAGCAGGGAAAAAGCCCCGAGGGGCTGAGCCCTGCCGGGGTGCCGCAGGGTCTGCCCGAACTGTGGATCTGACCTGTTGCTTTGCATTTTACACGCAGAGCCGCCTGCTCAGGAGATTGCCGCGGTAATCTGACACGTGTGAAAGGAGAGATGCGCTTCCCCTCTCAGCCGCTTTCAAAGGCGCACGGTGCTGACACAGCCGCCGGCCCCACCTTGAGGACCGCACCTGCTGCCTGCGGGCACCCCCGCGGGAGCATCCCGGGAGGGGCGGCGGGAGCGGCGCCGGCAAGGCGATATCCCTCTCTCGGGCGTAACGCGTTAGCTACTATCGTAACCACGATGCCTCGCCCCTCGCCAAAAGCCAAAACCCTGGGAGAGCTCCGGGTGAACAAGAGCTGGGAGAGACCTGGGATGTCACATCGCCCCTTCTTGTCGGGCTCACTCTGGGGCAAACCCGCGGGCGCTCCTGACAGGTTCCCCGAGTGGGGCAAATCCCCAGCGCCCGTGGGACACCCTTCGCTTCTCCCGGGACCGCCCCGCGTGGCCGTCCCCGGGCCCTACCCCGCAGTGAAGCACGGCCCGGGCCCCTGTCCGAAAAGAACCCCCGAGCCTGAAGAGGAGCTGTGGGCACAGCCCTGAGAGAGCAGAGGATGTTGAGCGGGCCTGCCTGCCCCGCTCGGGGGGTAGCACCCATCTTCCGTGCCCGGTTCGGTTACCCCGGGAGCGGTATGATCCCAGGAACCCCCTCCCGCCTCTCCTCAGGCGCCCACCGACGGGCGGGCTTCGCTTTCAAGGCTCGGCTTGGCAGAGTCTGCTGAGCAGCTAATAACATAACAACCCTGCTTTGATCAATTCGAACTAATTACCCCTCTTAATTAAAGTCTTTAGCGGTTGCTTTAGTGTTTTGGCAAGGGCGAGGAGAGCTTTGCCATGCGGCAGCGACAACACCGCGCTCCCCGCCCGTCTGCGCCGCAGCCCCCGCCGCCGCAGTCATTCCTTGGCAAAGGTTTATTTCCATCAGATCAACGAATTCTTTTTTTTTTTCTCCACGTGCAAGAATCAATGCAAAATTCAAATCCGTACATAGAGAACAGTTGTGTCCATATAGATACGATATTGAGGGGGAAAGGGAGAGGAGGGAACCAGGAAGGGTAGGATAACCAGCAAACAGCGGAGGCAGGGCAGGATCAACACAAGGGGAATATATATACATCGAAATAATTAAAATGGTGCAGCATTCCCGGCTCGAGTAATACAGATTCCCAAATAAATACAGCAGAAATTGGCTTGGCGCTTTCTATTTTTTTTTTTAACCATCTCTCCACCTGAGATGCAATGACAAAAAAAAAAAAAAAAAAAAAAAAAAAAAAAAAAAAAAAAAAAAAAAAAAAAAAAAAAAAAAAAAAAGTAGTCTGTAAAGAACAAAGGAAAAATTAAAAAAAATATATAGGAAACAACCAGTCCCATTAACGTTAATGGCGATATAGAGCATAATACACAAAACCGCTTAACAGGTGCATGCAAAGAGGCGGTGGGGCTCGCACCGGCGGGGCCGGCGGCCGCCCCTCACGGCTGGAGCGGCGGCGGGCCCTGCAGCAGCACCCCGGGCGGGGGCGGCGGGTCGGGCCCCCCCAGCTCCGCGGGGGGCCGGGGCAGTCCCAGGGCGCTGTCATGCAGCTTACGGACGTGCTTCTTGAGGTCAAAGTTCCTGCAGAAGCCTTTGCCGCAGGTGGGGCAGGTGAAGGGCTTCTTGTCGTTGTGGGTGTGCATGTGGAAGGTCAGATTGTACACCTGGTGAAAAGCCTTGTTGCAGATATTGCACTTGAACTGCTTCTCCCCGCTGTGAGTCAGTTTGTGGTTTTTGTAATTGCCTGTGAATGAGGAAAGAAAGGCAAATGGACCCGGATTTGAAAGACGGAGAATGAAAAGACGAGAAAACTATAAAAAAACACCCAAACTCTGTCCCATCACCAGAGTTCCGCTTTAGGATGAAACGACCGCAAACCTCCCGCCTTCTCTCCATCCTCCCCTCGGCTGTTACACTTAACAGACGACAAGGAAAGGATCGAATAAACCAAAATCACGACAATTGCAGAGATATAACCCCTGGGTTTAGACATCACAGCAACGCAGGAAGAAAAAGTAGCTAAATTCTTGTACTTGGAGGGGGAAATAAGAGGAGAATTCGTTTGCCGAGCCGCGCTGGAAGCTGCATGTTTCAGTGAAGGGAGAACAGGCGCTTCCAGCGGAACGACTGCCCCGCCGTTCCCCCGGACAGAGACCTCTGCCTCGCTTCGTGCGGCAAGGCATGTGTCCGGGCTAGCCAAACTTAAAATTAATCTAAATATATAATAATAAAACTTGAACACAAAATTAACTCCCCACTACGCTCCCTGTCGCAAATTGTCCCCTGGCTTGGGGAGGGGGAAGCCGGGTAACAGAGAGGGTGCTGGAGACTGGTACCTTTCTGGTGAAATCCTTTGCCACAAAATTCACAGACAAATGGTTTATAGCCGGCGTGTATTCGCGTGTGCGTGTTCAGGGTCGAGCTCCGGTTAAAAGCTTTGCCGCACTGGTTGCACTTGTGTGGCTTTTCCTGGAGGGAAACAAACACCAAGTCACGGCTTCTTGTTGGCTGTCTTGCGGGGTCTGTGTTCTGTTTTGCGGGATTTTATGAGCTGATTTGTGAGTTCTGTGCGTTCAACTGACGGCTCGCAGATGCCGGTGCGGGGCACCCCGCGTACCTACCGCGCTTGGGGCAAACGAAATCTCCCCGCGACTGCGGATTGGCCGCCCCCCACGCCGCTGTTTCGAGCGGCTGGACAAACGCCGAGCTCCCCGAAAATCGTGAGCGGAGAGTCTTGGGCAGGGAGGAAGGGACAGAGGTTGGGCTCACCTGGGTGTGGATGATCTTGTGCCGGCACAGCGTGCTCGCCTGTCTGAAACCCTTCCCGCAAACTTTGCAAACAAAGGGTCTGGCTCCCGTGTGTACCGGCATATGGCGCGTTAAGTTATAATGTGCATTAAATACCTTGAAAGAGAAAGGAGACAATAAAATAAAATCAAATTTTGATTAGAAGGGGAGAGTGCCAAGGAGAAATCAAGAAAGAAAGCGACAGACAGCCGGCGGGAAGACGGACAGGGACAGGAGGCTGGGGAAGGGAGGCGGGCTACGGTGCTACTTGCCTTTCCACAAACTTCACACGTGAAAACTTTGGGCTTGCTGCTCGGGGAGCCGCGGCTAAACTCCGACGTCTTATAGGCGATTTTTTCCGAGAGAATCTGAGCACTTTCTTTCATGTAGTGCTGCAACTGAGCCTGCGATAAGTCCTTGAAGGCCACCCCCGCCGGGTACTTGTCCACGGTCGGTAGTACCAGCTTGTTCCGCTCCGCCAGGTAAGCCTTGGGCTGCGGGTGCAAGGGAGAGCTGAGGAAATAAGAAGCCACCGGGTGGATGTTGACACTGGAGGACGGGTGACAGGGGCTGTCGCCTCGGTTGAAATAGCACAGGGCTCCCATGGCGTGGAAGGAGGAGTGATTGACCACTCGGGGTCTTACCAGTTTGTACTGCTGCAAGGGCAGGGCATCGCGGGGGAAATCTCCTTTCAAGCTCAGGGCACAGTTCAAGAGATCGCCGCAGCTAAAGGAGGGCGAGGAAGAGGAATCTAAGTGAGCCTTCCTGGGTTCCGCTCCAGCCACCGCTGCTTTGGGCAGGGTATCGTACGCCACCGGGACAAAGGGGATCATGCAGGGGATGGAGGAGTTGAGGTGCAGCGGATGCTTAGGGTCGCCTTTGGCCACGGAGCCATGGAGGAGCTGCGGGACGGGGATGGAGCGGGGCTCTGGAGTCCGCGCCATGATGCGCTCAATGGAGAAGGCGAGTGGCTTGGGCGTGCTGATCATGCTGCTCCTGGCAGACAGGCTTTCTCTGGACGGAGGAGTCGCTAGGATTTTGGTCGCCGTGTGGTTGCCACTATTGTCCATGGCTGAACTGCATTTGTTCTCCCGGTTTGAGCCGCTCTGGTAGACGCCTCTTTTTTTCCCCCCCTTTTTTTTTTTCTGTCTCCCCTCTCTCTCTCTTTCACTTTCTCTGCCCCTTTTCTTGTTACTGATCTGCGAGGAGGCAAACCAGCATTGCCGCCGCCACCATCACCACAGCCTCCGCCGGCGGAACCAGCCTTCTCAGTCCAGTGGACTCATGCCAGCCCATCACAGTTTACTTTGGCGCGCCAATGACTCGGGACAATCGCTACTTATTTCTATCAATAGAAAGTGTTGTGTCAATAACGCAGCCAAGATCTCGCCAATCGTTAACTTCCAAGAGGAGAAGGTAAACTAGATAATTGCTCAATTCGCTTCCAACAGTCAACAGGAAAAGTTTTTCCCCCCCAGCAAGCGGCTACTTTTCATTGGCGCCCGCGCCTCCCCCGCCCAGGGAAGGAGGTGGCCCTCCCTCCTTCTCGCCTCTCTCCCCTCTGCCTCCCTCCCTCTCTCTTTTTATTATTATTATTTGCAATCTGCTTAACCAGGCTTTAGAGGCCAAGCAAATCCGAGATCAATTTTCTTGTTTGGCTTTAAATGACATCATCTAAAATCATTGTCCAAGTGCTAAATAGGGATGTGAAACCCAATTCAAGGGCAAGCGCCAGGGTGTTTGTCAAACAAGGTGCTGCAGAAGAAGCGGCTGGAGGGGAGGCTGTTTGTTTCCTTGCCACTTTCCAGCCCGAGCTCCTTTGTGCGTGCGTACGTGTGTGTGTCTGAGGGAGGGAGGGAAATGGCTGCTCTGCTCCTGGGACTGCTCCTGGGACTGCTCACTGCTTTAAAGAACAAGGTCAGGTGGCGGTGAGCTTTTGGAAAACACAGTAGACAAATAAGCGGGGGATTTGCAACAAGCAGACGGCGAGACCAGCGTGTGGGGATGCAGGAACCTCACGGGCCAAATGGAATGAGTTGCTTGGGAGCAAAAGGATGATTCAAAACCTGGGGCAGGGGAAGAGAAGAAAAAGGAGGTAGGAAGAAGGAGTGTCTTTTAAATCCGAAGCCTTATTTTTATATTTATATTTTTGTATGTATAAACATATGTAGCCTGGATATACACTAAATATAGCTTCTGTGTTCTTACAGAATACATGCACAACACAAATACCGAAAACTCAGGGTTGGCACAGATAGAGCTCACACACTGTTTATAGATATATATGCACCTAAACAGATGCAGTCCCCATGTATTTAATAGGAGCTTGACGGCCCTGGTCGGGGCGGGCAGCGCCAGCGGTTGTTCGTCCTGTCAGCGAAGCGGGGGTGGTGGGGGAGATGAGAGGGGCAGCAGTGGGCACGGGACTTTCTGTGTTCCCGCCCACCCCGCCATCCGACAGTTCGGGCTCAGGACAAGGTCCCATTCCTCCCGCCGGCCTGAGGTTCGCTCTACTGGTGACCAAAATAATACCCAGGATAAACCAAGGGTCCCTCCGTCCCTGCCACTCCCGGGAGCGAGCGGGAAGGACGCGTTCCTCAACGGAGGGATCCATGCAGCAGCTTCCATGATCAGAGGTCCAGCACTGCCCTTCTCCGAGGCAGGGGGAGAGAGGCAGGAGGTGTCGGGTTTGCTAATGGAGGAAAGTCTTCAGGAGGCAGGGAGGCCCGACCCCCACTGCTCGGGTACCAGCCCAGGAACAGGCAAATGGCAGTGTCTCCCCCCGCAGCCGCCGGCCCAGGACAACCGTCTTGCGAGGAACTGAGAGCAGGAAGGAAGGGCTGGGGAGAAAGGGAGAGAGAGATGAGGAGCGGGATGGAGGGAGGCATCCTTGTCCCCGGAGCCGTGATCTGGCGGTTGTGGCCTCAAGCCACCGCGGTTCCTTTTGAGGAGAGCAAGGCAGCGGCTGTTCCACGACGGTACCTCCGCGGCTGGGAGCTCCATGCAGGGCACGGAGGAAAAGAATGTCCTGCGGTCCCCAGGATAGACGTCGAACGACGGGCAGTGGCCCGGGCACCATTCCCTGCACACTCTGCGACCTCCGTGTCCGCCCCGTCCTTCCCGTGTCGCGGAGCTCAGGCGGGCGGCAGGAGCCGGGGCTGGCCTCGGACGTGTCGGGACGGACACAGCCGTGCGGGCACGCGTGAGGCGCGGGATCCGCGCTGGCAGCGATACCTCGCTCCGGCCCTGCTCCCTGTTTCCCCTGGCCTGGGGGCCGCAGACCGGGGCGGCTCACATGCTTCTCCCACGCAATTCCCCACGGCAGATGGGTCGGGGCGTTAAGATCCTAATTGCTATCCCGGATCGTGTTGCTGCGGCCGCCCGCCTTTTACCTGGAGGAAGGAAGGATCGTGGACTCGCGGGGGGACGCAGCCGGCCCCCCCAGAGCCGTGAGGGGCAGCTGTCTCGGGCTGCCCGCTTCTCCGGAGTGTCAGTGTACTCTCTGGTACTTTGTGTCTGCCAGAGGAGAATTTCCTCCTTCAGAGCAATTTACATTTAATTCAATCTAGGCAAATTTCCTCTTGATTAGTGCTGAAGAAGGGAATTATTGTTGAGTGGGTTTTAGAGTCTTCAAATCTCATATACTTAATATGTTAACAGCTTGTTCTTAACTGGTCTTTTTGGGATTGACTTTTTGACAAGTGTTTGAAAGTAAAATATGTAGTGTCATTTGAGCAGGGTAAATATCCCAAAGCAGCAATTACAGCCCTGCCATTGCAATTATACTGGTCTACTCAAAACTGAGATACACTTTTGAAGAAGCGATAGCTTTATTATTCAGTACTTCCTTACGAATATACCTCCCTTACTTTCGGTACCTCTCACGGTAATTTATGTAAATGCCTAATTTCCCGTAGCGATCTAAAAGCAAAATTTTTCGGGGACGGGGGGGGGCGCGTGGGGACGTCATCCTCTTCTGTCTCAGAGGAAGCCTTGCTAGGTGTTGGTGTTGCCGGCAATATAGTAACAAAAAAAGTTATAATTTTTTATTTACTATCAAGTTACTAAAATCAACATTGACATATCCTTTTAGTCTTGTCCCGAGCTTTGCCTTGCTTTCAGACCGCATCTTTTTTTAAGTTTTACATATCTGCCGAGCCGCAAATATCCTGCAGTAGTGCTGGTGCAGCGTTGTTTTTCCCGAGGCAGAGATTTACAGGCTCTGAAAGTGGCAATAAGGAACCTCTCGGCCGGTTTCTGCTGGGGGAGCACAGCGGGCCCGGGCTCCCTCCAGGCTGGCAGCACGTACCGAGTCCCAGTAGAAGGGGCCGGCGGAGGAAGGAGCCTGTCCGCCGGTCTCCCGCAGTTACAAACCATGGCAGAAATTAAGGGCAAAAGTTTTGTCTCGAGTTGATTTTGTGCTCTGCCCAGGAAAGCTGCTGTTCTCTTTTTCCCCATAATCGGCTTTGTGTTTCATTCGTTCCTAAGGTATGTTCTTGATATTGCTCACTTGCATTATTATCATAACGTATCTCTACATGCACTCAAAATCCGAGTCACCGGCGAATTCATCTCGTCGTCAGGATTACTTCAATCCGATCCCAGAGGCGATTAGAGGGAGGTAAAATACCGCCTTAGAGCCTAATCTTTAATTTCTTCCTCCTTAATAAAATGAATAATTCCATTGCGTTTTTAAGTAAAAAATGAATTGAAAAGGATAATAACTCCTCTAACCTTCTGTTGCTTGTATTAATATTTTCCTGGGAGTGTTTCACCGTAACCCTCCTCCCCGAGGGGGCTGCTCCCTCCGTGCGCCCGGAGCCGGCTCCCCACGACCGGGTACGGGCGGGGACGGCAACATCCCTCCTGGTTCCGGGACGCCTCTGGGCACCCCGAGCGTGGAGGGAGCCAGGGAGGTTACAAAACATCCTTCTGGCCACGACATCCGCGGACTCGACGGCGGCTGGACAGACCCTGATAACTATTATTACTGTTGTAATAGTCGTCATTAGTAGTGACACTGTCGGGATTCACTGCTAAAGCTTGGGTTTGTTCTCGCTACGCATCAGTCCAAGACGTTCCCTCCCGAGCCGCCGGATTTTTGAAGAGGGGATTTACCCCAACACGAGGGACGCCGTGCCGCCCGCCCGCAGACCCCGCCGCGGCGAAACGCTTGGCCCTGGCTTGTTACAATTCGGAATTAGCCCCTGGCTGCTGCGGTGCTGGAGGGCTCGCTGTTCTTTCTACCCAGAAATTGTTTACTGTATTTTGAAGGGAAGTAAAAATATGAACGGGGGAGTTACAGCGGGGGGAAGTGGACCAGCCGCCGTCACCCGGCGCTGGGGGAGATCCCGACCGCCGTCCTTTTCGGTGGGAACCTGCGGCTACCGCCACCCGCCCGGCTGCTGGGATGGTGAGCGCAGCTCCCTGGCCCACCCGGCCCCGGCCCCCGTTCTGCGCTGCGGAGGTCGGCCGCAGAGCCCGAGTACGACTCGCAGCAGCCTCGGGCTCTGAGGTTTCTGGAGCGTGGGCAAAGGCTCTTGGCCTTTCCCGGTTTTGAAGTTGCAACACTTCGGCGTTTTCTCCACTGATAATTTCTCCAGTGGAAGAAAGTAATATAAATATGTGCGTGCGTGTGTGTATATACCTTCCGAGACTGTGTAATCTTCCCATACAGTGAGGCTGTGTTGACGTCCTTCTATAGCAGTTCCAACGCAAGCAAAATAATAAAGTATTTGTAACTTTTAAGTATTTGTAGTTTGAATCCATCACAAAAGAAAAACATTTAACGCTGACCCGCAAAATACAAGTGCTCCCGGAGGTAAAGCAAAGTTTGGCAGTACAGTACATTTCGTACAGACCCCCCTAAATGGGAAACCAAACTGGTGCAAATTAAGCCTTTTCATGTATAAAGCCTTTAATCACATATAAACGAAATTACAAGTGACCCTCTAAAGCAGCGCTTCCGGCCCTCCCGTAATTCATGCGAGCGATTTGACTAAGTGTGCCAGCTCCGAACGTGGACTGCAGCTATCACGTCTAATCTAATCAGTCCGCCTGCGAGGGGACC